GTGCTCATTTGAATTTCATTATTTGTCTCCATTGAAAGTGAATTTTATTTTGTTGGGTTAAAGATTTATCAATGTCTTAATTCTTAAGTATGAAAAGAACCAAGAAGAAAGAACAAAGAACAGCATATGAAAAGAACCAAGAAGAAAGAAGAAAGAACAACATATGAAAAGAACCAAGAACCAAACTTTATATTTTCATTTTGAACTCTGCTTTCAGTTTCTTATCACAGAATTTGTAGCACTGAGCTATGTAGTGTCCTCCTTTTCAGGCAGTAACTGGTAAAATTCATCACCAGTAGCACCTCTTGTTACCACCTCTTGTTACCACCTAAAATCACTAAATATTCTGGAAAATTCAACATTTTGAAGGATTGGTCTAGAAATTTAATATACCTGTTGTGCTTAAAATAAGGGAGAACAGTGGCTATGCACACTTGTTATGCTTCCAATGAAGCGGAACAACCAGGATTTGCTGAAAATTCAAGTTGCAAAGCCCTTACACTGTGCATGCTTGCATTTTAATTATTCAAGCTTTCAGCATAGATTATTAATTTTTGGAGGGTTCTAAATTTACACTGGAGTGCACATTTTCACAACCATTTATTAGACCATTAAATAGTGGGTATGTTCACACCACTGATGACGCCATCCAAAAGATGTTTTTCAGTTATACCTCTCATCAACATTTTTTCTACATGCAGCACACATCAAGAACATTTTACAATAATGCTGGTGAAGTGGTTCAACAAGATGCAGGTGCCTGGATCACTATCCAACTATCGATCACTGGACTATCTTGGCATACAGCCATTCAGTGATATACCCATGTTTAAAAAGGCTTTGCCTGCACCTCAGGATGGAGTTTATGGAGGTTTTTCCTTATTACCTGCCATTGAGGCATCTTGTGCGGTATGTGGTACTTGCTCATTCAATGTTTATCTGTTGGTCTCTGGTCATTCAGTGCATGGCCAATTCACTGGAATTTCATCAAAGAAAAGTATGGAATAGAATACAAGCTGTCAGGCTTTGCTAACTTAATACGTTAGGCAAGTTGGGCAGCAAATACACAGCCTTGCCTAAACTCTGGAAAGGGAGGGGTCAGTAGAAAATGGCAAAGAAATATTCTGGTGAAACAGTAGCTCTATGTGCCCTGATTTTCAGAGCTTGTACATCATCATGATCCAATTTTGCTTAATTAATCAACTGGCTAAAAAATGGGGACCATGTGTTATCTAAGTGTTGATCTTCCTTTCATTCCATATGTGATTTATTTATTTTGCTTACCTATCCTTGAATCTTTAAGGAGCACTTTCAGGGCTACTTGATAACAAAGCTACAGTAAACAATAGGTACCATGAGCTGTCGCACTTTTTTTCTTTCACTGTTACTCCAAAATACCTATAGCATTTA